AAAAAAAGCACAAGTTTAGGAGAAAAAGGAGAACCAGGATATGGCTATCCTGGAGCTGCAGGTTTCCCAGGGCCTAAGGGAGAACCAGGAGATGCAGGAATCCCAGGACAGGGTGGACAACAAGGGCTGTCAGGCCTTCCAGGAACGCCTGGATATCCTGGTGAGCCTGGAGCGCCGGGCGCAGACGGAGCACCTGGAATGCCAGGTCTGATGGGCGAAAAGGGTTTGCTGGGACTTGATGGAAAACGTGGACGTCCTGGACTAGAGGGACGACCTGGATTGCCCGGTCTTCCTGGGATGAAGGGAGAACGTGGAATGCATGGGATGGACGGACAACCAGGACGTCGCGGTAGTCCTGGAGACATGGGACAACCAGGATATCCAGGAGCAGCCGGACAACGAGGTCCTGATGGATTACCTGGAGATGAAGGACTTATCGGATTCCCTGGTCTTCGTGGAATGCCCGGTGACAATGGATTGCCGGGAATGGAAGGACCACGTGGTGAAGATGGTGACATCGGCTTGGATGGTATTCCAGGAACACCCGGTGGACCAGGAGACGATGGTAAGTGATTCTCAGCAATTCTATAAGATCCAATTGGGTCTCAACTGAGCAGGATAGAAAACAATTTAATCTGCCTGTGGTGCAAGGAAACCAGTTTTATATTTCTTTATGTCCAAGAAAAAACTAAGTGTTTACACTACAAAACATGCACTCAGGTTACATATACCTGCTTTGAAAATGACGTGTCTAATAATGGACATGCCTATGTTTAGGTCTTCCTGGACTACCAGGCGCAGATGGACATCCGGGGCCAAAGGGAGAAATGGGTGAAGAAGGGTCCCCTGGTGCTAGGGGAATGCCTGGAGATGCCGGGTATATTGCACGACCAGGACTACCTGGAGACGTTGGTTATGCAGGACCCGTTGGACCTCCGGGCCTGCCTGGACTTGACGGCGCACCTGGACTAAAGGGGGAACAAGGTGAACCTGGCGACAGCTACCCTGGTCTTCCCGGAGCTCCCGGAGAACAGGGTGCACCTGGTTACGATGGTATAGAGGGAGCACCCGGCCAACCTGGTATGCCTGGCCTAACTGGAATACCCGGTCTGAAGGGAGAAGCAGGAGAACCTGGTTATGCTGGAGCTGCAGGTAGAGATGGATTGCCCGGAGTACCAGGCGTGGAAGGTGACTGCGGAGATGATGGATATCCAGGAGCACCAGGTATTCCTGGACTTCCTGTAAGTTTTGGTCTGTTAAAAAGCTTATCACTGAATCCTACAGTTGCCATTGCTCTTAAATACACCGAACTTTCTTGTAGGGCGCCCAAGGACGTGAAGGTGAAAAAGGATATCCTGGTCTGCCAGGGGAAGCTGGCCTACCAGGTCTTCCTGGCGCACCAGGTCTGCCGGGTATGAAAGGTGAAAGAGGAGAGGCGGGACTTCCTGGTTACGCTGGAATTCCTGGAGAAGTTGGACAGCAGGTGAGTGAATGCGAAAACCATTAACATGAAAAAGATGTTTTACTTTAATTTTCAGGGTGACCTGGGCATTCCTGGAGCGCCTGGAGTTCCTGGGGACTCAGGCCTGCCAGGGCGGGAAGGTCAACCCGGCGCGAAAGGTGAAAGAGGAGAGCCAGGCTCACCTGGTTATGCTGGGAAAGTGGGACTGCCAGGACCTGTCGGACCACCAGGAGATGAAGGCGCTCCGGGAGCGCCTGGACAAGATGCATATGGACAGGCAGGCGCACCAGGAGAACCTGGCTTACCTGGACCTGATGGTTTCCCGGGACTACCGGGAATGGCCGGAGAAAAAGGAGCTGATGGTTACCCCGGATCTCCTGGCCTTCCTGGTCCTCGTGGAGAGCCAGGATTTCCTGGAGTACCTGGCGAAATGGGTCTTCTTGGTATCGACGGCAAAAGAGGTAAAAAAACAGAGCTCAGTGTTGTCTTTTGAGCATAGAGCATCTTCACATACTACAGGTGTTGATGGAGCTCCCGGAGCTCCTGGAGCACCTGGCCTGCCTGGAATTCCTGGAGCAGAGGGAGACTGTGGTGACGACGGACTCCCTGGACAACCAGGTCTCGACGGTACTCCTGGTTATCCAGGAGAAAGAGGAGTGCCGGGTGGGTCATTGAGCTTCACATCTCAAACTCTGAAGATTTAAGGGGCATTTTAAGGAGTGCCCGGATATCAAGGTCAGCGAGGTGATGATGGTCTTCCTGGTTTGCCTGGCATTCCGGGTGTCAAGGGAGACCGCGGAGACGATGGACTTCCTGGTCTCCCTGGACCAGATGGACTGCCTGGACGAGAAGGAGCGCCAGGAACTCCGGGACCTATGGGATTCAGACAAGAAAGCCCTCCTGGCGAGCCGGGAACCCCAGGACGACCGGGAGAAAAAGGATATCCTGGATTACCTGGAGAAAACGGTGCTGAGTTTTTTATATCTATCAGTTTAATAAATAAAGTTATCTTTATTTTAGGATTGCGCGGACCACCGGGAAAAGCAGGTTACCCAGGAGCGCCAGGGGAAGCCGGTTTGCCAGGTCTGCCTGGAATTCCTGGACCAAAGGGAGAGGTTGGAGCAGCCGGCAGTGTTGGAATTGTGGGAAGATTAGGTGCACCTGGAAATCGTGGACCGCCAGGACTACCTGGAGGTCCGGGAGGTTGGGCACCATCCAGAGGCTTCACTTTTGCTAAACATTCACAGACGACACAGGTCGAGCAGATATTTTCGCGAGTATTTTGCTCCGCTTATCATGTTTCCTGCAGATTCCTCCTTGTCCAAATGGAGCAGCACCGTTATGGACTGGGTACTCTCTTCTCTACGTACAAGGAAACGGAAGATCGAGTGGACAAGACCTTGGTGATTACCACATTTTGCCTCTTTGCTGTCGTTATTCTATCAAAGGATGAGTCAAAGTGGACATTTAGGTCAAGCGGGCTCTTGCCTTTCGAAATTCAATACTATGCCATTTATGTTCTGCAATCTCAACAGTGTGTGCCATGTGTCGAGTAGAAACGATTACTCGTTCTGGTTGAGCACCGAAGAGCCAATGACACCTATGATGAATCCAGTGAGAAGCTTTTTGAAAAAACTCGGCTTGTATCTGTAAACACAGTTCTCTAGGTCTCTGGAACAGCAATCCGGCCATACATTTCTCGTTGTGCCGTGTGTGAAGTACCGACGCAAATCATAGCGGTTCATTCGCAAGACACAGTAGTTCCGGCGTGCCCAGCGGGATGGAGTGGATTGTGGAGCGGATACTCGTTTGTGATGGTTAGTTACAGATTGCTTCTTGAGTAGCTTCTTAGGAGCACCTAATGTAGGTATAGTCTTGACCTCTAGTGTAAATGCAAGAACAAAATCAATTCCAGCATACTGCGGCTGGCGCTGAAGGCACTGGGCAGTCGCTTCAGTCGCCCGGATCCTGCATGGAGGAATTCCGAGCGGTTCCGTTTATTGAGTGCCACGGACGAGGAACCTGCAATTACTACGCTACCAACCACGGATTCTGGCTTGCTATTGTCGACAATGTAAGTTTAAT